GTTGCTGCTGTTGCTGCTGCTGGTTGAGGTTTCATCTACAGGCAAGGGCAGCTTGGCAAGAAGAAGGCCTAATAGAGGTCTTTGGAGGACGTGAACGACACATGACAAGAAGATTCTACCGGAAGAGATGAACTTCCATGCATCAAGATAAAATTGGAACAACAAAACACTACCATCTCGCGTACACGAGGAGACGGTGTAGCAATTCTATTTCCTGTGTGTATGAGAGGAGACCACTTTGATGGTCGAAAATGGCGTTAGGAAAATCCTAAGGATTCTTCATTTTCGTTAGTGTTGCTATTGCTGTTGCAGGAAGATTCCGCAAACGGAGGCAGAGGAATGGTGAGACATGGAATTTGATAGGAGTTTTGGCTACTGAGGAATGCAGAGGAGGGCTACAATTTTCTTCCCCCTATCATTTGCAGCTTCTTGGGGAGGAGGTGGAAACGACTGTTGCTCCGATTCAGAACTGGAATCCACCTCCTCACCACCTTCTTCTCCATATTTTGAATCTGTTTCAGAAGGATGAGATGTATTCATTCCATGATTTCCACTGAGGTTCGAGAATCTCTCAGTTGTGGCAGTGGGCTGGCTTTTGCAGGAAGAAGGTCCAGTAGGATATTAAAGGAATTCTTTTGATAGAAGCAAGTCAGTGAGATCTCTGCTGTTGGAAGGCAGCAAAGACAAGAAGTCTCCAGGAAATCCGACAAAAAGAGGGAGCAGGAGCAGAATTTGCTGACTGCTGCAACGTAGAATTCAGTTCTCCTTGCAAGGGGGAATTTGTGCTGCTGCAGCTTCTGCTGTCCTTGGTGCTGCGGGCCGTCTACATAACATAACCAGAACTAAACAATCTGGCTATTGGGAGGATTCCGAAGAGGGCCTGCACCCTGCAGGAAGAGTGTTGATTACAAGGAAGAGGTGTGGCTGTGTTAAAGAAGAGAGTATCGGCAGCCTGCAGGGGTTTTGGCAGCAGAGGAAGGGCCTGCAACCTACAGGGAGAGAACTGGCTGCATGCTGCCGGGAAGAAACCGTCGGAGAAGGGACTGTAGACTTTATCAATCAAATCGCTATTGCTCAATTTTCTTGGTTACTCTATTAATCAGATCGCTATAGCTCAACTTTCTTGGTTCAAAGCCCATAGCTTCATAGCTCACATAACTGAATCTCTTCTACGATGTGACATGAATGATTGAAAAAGCTTTACCTTTAATTCCATTCATCGAATACCTGCAGGGATCGAATTCAGTCACATATTTCTATTTTAGGGATGATATGAGGAATCCCAGATCTTTCAGTCATAACTCTAGCAAATGATACATTACTGATAACAGAATTCTCGAAGAAAACCCTGTTGCTATCTCATTGTCTAATCCCGCATTTTCACCATTAGAAGTCAGGTTTCTCAGAAACATAATGAACATGCCAGTTCTAGTTTGGCATAGATGGATTATCGATAACATAAGTAGCCGCACCAGATCCAAGGTGGCCAAAGAACAGATTGAGAACCCCAACTTCTTCGGAGAAGCATCAATAAGGAGTAGGCTGGGCTTTTGGGAATGTGAAGCTTCCTCTAGGGTACTTCACTGCCATGATTGATAGTGAAAGCTTAGTCAGATTAAGGATCCCAAGAATTCACATCAAAGGTTTTCAGAATAATCTTTTACAGGTACACAAAATTTGAGAGCATTTAGGAATTGAAAATGATGTTCGAGAGCTTTGTGACAACGATGCTTTTTTTTGGCTCTAGAATTGAGTCAATTTGGGGCCAAATAAGAGCATGGAGGCCATGGCCATAAGGATCGACTAACAAAGGAGCTTCTGAGGAGTTGATTTCAAGGCGCTTCTCATAGCCTTCAAGTCTAGTAGAAGAGAATGCCATCAGTTCAAGCTTGACAGAGCAAACAGACTATGCAAGAAAATTAAGATAGAAGAATAGAAAACGAGTTTGAAATATTGGAGAGTAGCAAAGCAAAGTAATCAAAGCAAGAGTGCAGGGAAACTCCTGCACTAATCAAGTGACAACCACAAAGATTATCAAGGAGGCTTTCGAGCGCAGTTGGAGTAATCAACAGGTTGGAACTTCCTCACGCTGTTGTTGAGCTGACATCCTCAATGTTGTTGCCTAGGGGAACTTTGTAATGTAAATATAGTTGTTAAAAAAGTTTGTGTTCGGCTCGTTAAATAGCTCGTGTTCGAATCGTTCTTTAAGCAAACAAACCGAACACGAACAATTTTTTTAAGCTCGAATTATAAATGAGTCGACACGAACAACCATTTGTTCGATCATATTCAGCTCGTTTTAGTTTGAAATAAAAAAAAAATTATATATATTATTTATATAATAATATATTATATTTTTATATCAAAATTTATAACATAACTCGTGTGGTCATGTGATTATGCGCCTTCTACTGCCCAGAAAGAGTATTGGTTCGAATCCAACGCCATACTTCTATTTTTTTTAATTATTTCAAGTGAGCCGATTTTGAGCCGAACATGAACAGGAATACATGAATCGAGTTAAACACAAACATATTGTTCACGAGCAATTTCAAACATGAGCCAATTTCGAACAAGAGTCAATTTTGAGCGAGTTGAAAAAGCCAAGCCTGAGCTTGCTCAAGTGGGTCGTTTACTGCCCTAATTGTAAGGAATTACTGCTAAATTTCTTTATCCCACTTCTTGACTACATTAAAACATCCAAACGTCAAAACGTGCTCTATCCTGCAGAGATTGGTGCTTAACAAGGCGAGAAAAAAGAGTAAACCCTAGGAATTGCTCGGCAGGATGAAAAACAAGTGCTTTTAGCAACTTCTTGCGGACAGATGCAAGTGGGATTCCCTTCTTTGTAAGACAGTTAAGAGGGGACGCCTGAAGCCGCGGGAAGGAACAACAGGAAATCTCCATGGAATAACGCATGCAGGCAAAAGCCTACGCTAGGATAGCTTTCAGCCTGTAACAGGGAGAGGTTCAGAAAACCTGCAGGTAGGGATCTGGGAAGTTTGTAGCAGGGAGAGATTCAGAAAAAACTGCAGGTAGAGATTCAGGAAGCTTGTTGCAGGGTCAATACTTGGAAGGAAATTTCGGTGGCTGTTGGAGGATTTCGACGAAAGGAGAAAGACAGGATTTGTTTCCAAGCTTTGATACCATGTATAATTACTTGGGGGGAAATTTTGCTCCATCTACTATTCACAAAGTGGTAACATATATAAAGAGAAATCAAGCTCTCCTTATTTAGAAATTTACCAAACATATCTCACCAAAATTATGAAAGGGAATAATTCTGAATAAAAAATAGAAAAACATAAACTAGAAAGGGAATAAACTAAATAAAAGGTTTCCTAAGATATCCCAAACAAATCCTTCAAGATTTGGAGTTGGTGGTCGGCCTACATGAGAGAGGTATGCATGGAAAGAACTAATCCTTTTCATATTTCCACACATGCTAATCATTAAATGCACATAAACATGACTTTTGAAATGTCTTATCATTCACATGGCATATATCATACGACAATCATAGCAATTGTCATAACCATTGATGTTATAGGCATAATCCTTGCATTTAATTATCATCATCGTCAACATTATGAGCCATGTTATGTGGTGGCATAATTTATGAATATAAGGTAAATAACTATACATTTTGTCTATAGATTTCTAGTAATTGTTGCTTGTCATAGATGTAACCCTTGATTGGTTGATATAATTTGCATCAGCACAAGTGTCGTGTTGCTCATATGTCCACTATTCTTTTTGATGAGAAAGTAACTAACATAATTAGTTGATATATCCTCATCGGCACATGTGAGACATATTTTATATTTCTAATATTATTAGTGGTGCCAAGAGTAGAGTCATGAATGCGCAGGATACATTGCCTTCCTATTTGTGCCAAAAGGAGGACTCTCCATCAACATGAACTTGAAAGCACTAATATATGTAAGATTTTCATGCTAGAGCTTTATCAATGCATTTGAACAGGATTTGCTTTGCACAATCATAACAAAACATGCCTTTAAAAATCATAATCATATCAATTATATAGCATTTATAATCATTAACATGAAATGTAGTTATTAAATTTTGATAGATTATACCTCTTCAGATGATTATAGACATATGAAAAATATCAAAGAACCAAATAAATCATAACATAAATTTACATGAAAGCCATTCCTTGGGGGAAAGCTTCTATAAGCAAAGGCAATTATATGCAATGAGTATATAGGAAGGAAACATTATGCTTAATTAAAATTGCATTTTTAATATTTAAAAGTGCAATTATGTTGATCTTTCGACACATTATCCCTTAGTTTATAGGATTTGGTCTTAGTATAGGAATTTTTTTACTAGACCTTTAATAGACTTTCCTAGTGACTAAGTGGATATTGATTGTTAGCCAAAGTTAAACCAACCCCTCTTTAATTTGAGATGAACACGAGTTAATTGAAGCTCAGAAAGAGCAAATTTCAAATGTGTTCATATGATTATACTAAAAAATCTTATGTTAGTAAAGACATGACACGTACTATTTGATTGTGTATTTGGCTTGATTGAAAGGACACAATTATATTATGGTTATTGCCTAAGCCTAATTGTTCTTCAATGATTAAATCTATGATTTATGTGCCAAACCAAGGTTGACTCAAAATTTGTCTTTTTATTAAGCTTTTCCCAAGGTCTACGAGATCCACTTGGATGATGCAATCTATGGTTGCTACTAATGATCTTTCAATGAAGTTGGATTTGCTAACTCTATTGGGTAAGTCCGTGATTATACGGGCTACAAAACTATGAAATTTTAATTTGTTGATTAAAAGTGAACTGGTTTGACTTTTAAAGTTTTTACCTGTAGCCACTCTAATATCAACAAAGCCTGTGTGAGAATTTTAGGATTCCATGGTTATTCTCTTTTTATAAAGAAGATTTTTAGTGCCATATGGTGGTTTTACTGTTGTGATGTTGCATTGATTTGTGTTTCTATTTTGCTGATACAGAGAGGGAGCGTACACCTGTTTTGCTCCATGTATTGGTGCTGAAGAATTCAACTATGGTTCAAGGATTGACCATATTCTCATTGCCGGGCCTTGTCTTCATGAAAATCAATCCTCAGAGAAACATAGCTTATTTGATTGTCATGTTGGAGGAAGTGACATTATGATGCAGTTCATCCGCGGAAATTTTGTTGGTAGACCCAAGTAATAATACATATTAGGCGAAAGTTCTTGATTTTGCATTCAGGATGTGATTTAGACTGGTAAGTTTGCAGGTGGATAGGGGGAAGAAGCATAAAATTGGAAGGTTCAGATCATGTACCTGTGTTCATGATCTTCAACGACATCCCTGATCTTCCAGAGCATAGCACTCCAGCTTTAGCTGTGAGATATGTTCCAGAGGTTCGTGGTTGGCAACAAACTATTGGTGAGGAGTTGAATTCTTTTTTCTTACTTTTCCAAATAGATTGCCCGATAAAAATATTTTAATTAAGTATAAATTTGAAATGGTTGCTGAAATATGGCTAGGTTATAAAAAAAAATAACGCTTAATAATACCCTGTTTTATCCATACACCACAAATTCAGGTGGTTTGGGCGGTGGAGCCTAGTTGTAAGCTAATCCAATCTTGAAAATTTATGGAGATTTCTATCTTGTTTGATGTTACCATGGTTGTGTTAAAAAGCTAGTTCTCAATTTGATCCGGCTCTATCTGCATTGGAGTAAAATGTCAAAATACTACTTACATGGGGTCATTTTAGTATCAAAATCTATAAAAGTGTCAAATTAGTCCCCAAACTCTTAAATTAGGGCTGAAATTGTCTCAATGGAGGACTATTTTAACCTATATTAAAAAAGTTTGGGCACTAACTGGCACTTTTAGACTTTGGGGCAAGTCATCCTCTTCAAAAAGTCAGAGGAACATTTTTCTCATCTACATTGTATTTTACTCTAATCAGAGCTGCTTGTGTGTGTGTTTCTTTTCTGTCCAATTTCTACAATTATGTCAATCTACCTGTTCATAGTGTTTGAATAGCGTGAACTAATATAATAAAAAATGGTTTAGGATATGTGATATAAAATTTTTACTTATTCTGTAAAAGTCCATAATTTTAATATGAATAATGTTGTGAAGCTGTTGTGGAAATTGTGCTGAAAAAGTGCATGGCTATTTCTTATATCATTCTAATAATTTTTAATTCTATATCTAAATACGTGAGCGCATTCTGGTGTTCGTCATTTACTTATTTATTTTTACCTAGGAACTTTATATTTTGTTTTATTATACTTAGTAATATACTCCAGCTTATATAACACTACAAATCTGAATCATTTTTCCTGCTTTCATTCTGCAGCATCTTAATACTACTGAATTTAGTGATTAATAATGGATTTTTACAGTTCCATTCTTGAGGAAAAGACAGCTTCCTGATGCCAATGAGCATTCTGCTCATGTTACGTCAGAAAATGGTGGTGAAGGTTCAGTTGCAAGCCTGGACAATAGTTTGTCTTTGAAGTGCGGGAAAGCATCAATCCTTGCTAACTTTTCTTTTGATTTAGATCAAGCTAGTCCACAAACTTCGGATCACAAAATCAGTCAAGAAATCTGTGCTGAAAGTAACAAGCCTAGTTCCTCTTGCCTGAATATGGGGAAAAATAGCCTTTCCCATAAAACTAAAGTGCCAGTGAAAAAGGTTAAGTGTGCTGCATACTCTCAGCTTACTTTGAGGTCTTATTTCCAGCAACCAAAGCTTGGCTCTGATTGTATCGTAGAAGGAAAGAATGCTGATGAATCTTTGGATCGATATGATAATGGAAAGATTAGTGATGATCTTTCTTGTGGAACAGACCTGATATCTGTTAAAAGTTCTTTGCTTGATGTTGGAAACTATAATTGTGGGGCAGACTTTCCTGGGAAGGGTTTTCGTTCTGAAGATCAAACTGATGAATGCTTATCTTCTTCCTCTCAATCTGAAAGCAGAAATATCGCGTTGTTGGAGTGGCAAAAAATTCAGCAGAAAATGAAAAAGAGTATACCACTTTGCAAGGGTCATAGTGAACCCTGTGTTGCAAGGTCTGTAAAGAAGGAAGGCGCAAATCTTGGGCGGGGATTTTATGTATGTGCTCGTGCTCAGGTAGAAAATTTTCCAGTGATCTCTTTTTTAGTCATTTAATTCTATTTAATTGGCTAATGATTTTTTTAAAGCTCTACTGAGTCATTATTTCTTATAAAATTAAGTGGTTTTATAACTTTAGTTCTTGGTTTTTATATAAACTCAGAAATAACATGTTCTCTGTTCAGCAGACGTTACAGTAACTTGAAATTTGCTTCTGGTGAAAAAATGTAATTTGGTCAGTTATGTTAATTCCTGATAAATTGGATCCTCAAAATTCTAAATTTACTATTTGAGTATATCTTTATTTTTCCTTATTAGACGATATTGCTATAATTTTGATCTGCCTTTTCCCTGTTATTCTGGGGTGGGGATTTGGAGAGGAAAGAGCCGGTTGGTAGGGGCGAAGAGGGTGATGCCTGTTCCCGGAAGCTTTATAATGAAGTAGGGTGGTACCTAAAAATTCATATTTATATTTTATATGCATACCACTGAAATACTTAACATCACATCAAAACTACCACAATCATTATCTTGTTAAGAGTGACCTATATGTTTTTATCCAAAAGTTTATGATACACCATAAGAGTAAATATCAAACTTTAGATGTTAGATCTATAAATATATTAGAATTATGGGTATGTATACAAAATTTTCTTCTTTTTTTTAATTCGCCGCCCTGCATTGCAGCTTCTAAAAGCTGCAACTCGGTTTCCTGAATGACGAACTTTTGATAATTATCTCGCTTGACACCATGCTGTAAACCCAGGCAAACAAAAGAGCAAAGAAATAAAGCGAAAACAACAAAATATTTTCTGCTGATAAAATCAGTAAAAAGCTGCTTACAATCTTCTCCGCTATCCTTTTATACCATCTTTACGGTATAGATAATAGCAAGTATTACTATTAAGCAAGCAATGTACTATAAAGGAAATTAATAAAAGGATATTTCGGTCCAGTCCATTCTTCAACTACTCAGATTCCCCTCCGCTTCAGAAGAACTCGTCCTCCGGAGGATGGTATTCGAATAATGTCAGAAATATTGAATGTAGGCGAAATTTTCAATTCCGGAGGTAAAGAAATGATATAGGCGTTATCGTTTATCTTTTGTGCGATTGGAAATGAACCCAGTTTGCATTGTTTTAATTTAGAATTGGTGCCGGTTGGAAGTCGTTCTTTACGCAGATGAACCATTACTAAATCCCTGACCTTGAATTGTTTGAAGGGCCTTTTAGTATCTGCCTTTGCTTTATGTGCTTGTTACTTTGAGAAAGTTTATCTTTGACGTCTTGAATCATTGTGGTGAAATCGGTAACCAACGATTCAACAGTTTTATTGCGAGCTTGAGGGAGGACCGCGAGGTCAATCGTATGATTGGGGTGCCTTTGTATAAACTATACTGAATGGATCCCTGCCTGTTGATCAATTTGGCATGGAATTATATGCAAATTTGGCTTTACCAAGTATTTCATCCCATTGCTTTTGGGGTTTCTCCAACTAAACAACAAATCATGCTATTGAGAGTTCGATTAACGATCTTTGTTTGGCCGACAGTTTGAGGATGATAAGCTGAACTTATTCTAAGTTCAATATGCAATCTTTTCTTAATTCCCGCCAAAAGCAATATGTAAGACTTTGAGGTAATCCATGAAGGCTAACAATATTCTTAAAGAATAGTCCTGCGATATTAAGAGCATTGGAGGTTTTCTTACAAGGAATAAAATGGGACATTTTAGAAAAACCGTCCACCACTAAACAACTTTTAGTTTTCAACAGTCCCAAAACAAAATCTAGACTCAAGTCTTCCCAAATTGTTTCAAGAATCGGTAATGGCATTTAAATATCAGGGTTCTGAACATTTGGCAAGTGGCACACCATTCAATAAACCGGCCAACATCTCTTCTTAATGTTGGCCAGAAAAAATGAGCTGTCAGTAATATGGTAGTTTTATCACGACCGGCATGGGTGGCCAACCCTCCAATATGCATTTCTTGAGTTAAGGGAGTGTGAAGAGAAGTGTTTGCAATGCACAACTGGCTGCCTTTAAAAAGATAGCCCTGTTTAATAGAATACTCTACAATCGGAGCCTTGGATATACAACTTTTCCATAGATTTGCCAAGTCAGTGTTGGTAGCATATTGTTCTTTGATAGCTTCCTACCAGGTAATCGAGGTCTGTAAGGAGACCAAAAAATTGGCTTTGTGGCTAAGAACGTCAACAACTTTGTTACTTTGACCAGATTTATGTTTTGATACGAAACTGAATTTTTGTAGGAAGACAACCCGCCACACATGCATCCGGTTGAGTGTCTTGAGATTGCAGAAATTATAGGGCTTTATGATCACTGAATAAAACAAACTCTTGGTGAACCAGATAGTGTTCCCAATGCTTGAGAGCTCGCATAGGTACATATAATTCCTGCTCATAGGTAGACCACTTTTGTGGAGTGCTACTTAGTTTTTCACTGAAATATTTAATAGGTTTATCTTCTTCAGATATAACCACACCAATGCCAACAGTAGAAGCATCTACTTCAACAAGAAATGGTTTGTCATCCAGAATAGCTAGAACAAGAGCACTACACAAAATGGTCTTAATATTGTCAAAGCTTGCTTGTTGTTCTGATTCCACAGGACTGTCTTGCCTTTCAAACAGTTGGTAATGGGTGCATCAATGTGCCGAAACCTTTGATAAATGTTCTATAAAAACTAGCTAATCCATGAACGCTTCAAACTTCAAACATACAGTTAGTAGGCCAATACCGGATAGCTGCTATTTTGTTAGGATCAATTTTAATAACAAATTTGGTTGTAATTTTATTGCTGGCTTTGATGTCGACGCACATTCGCTACTTTTCATACTTCCTTGGTACAATTAATGCCGACACGGCACATTAACTTGGACTGTTCCTGATTCATGGTTTCTACAATGAATCATTGACCATCTCCTGTAATATCTGATGTTCCCTTGGGCTTAATCTGTAGTGGGGTAAATTTGGTAATGTAGACCCCAGAATGAAATCTATTTGGTGTTGAATAGTGCGCATAGGAGGTAATGAATTAGGTAAGTATGCTGGAGCTAAATCGGAGAACTGATCCACTAAAATCTGCACCCTATTTGGCACTTACTTGGCGACTGGCTGCTGTTCGTTATGCAGAATGGCATACGTGTGAGCCTCTAATTTATAATCTTGCATTAACTGGTTACCTGACCTAGCAATGAAAGCTAATGGATCAGAAGGGGCATCTTTCACATTGATGTTGGCTGGCTGTAATCTCATAATTCACCCATCTTTTTCAACAATACAAGCATTGGATCAGCCATCATACCACACCCCCTCATCGAATTGTCACAGATGGCCCAAGATAACATGGCATACATCAATGTCTATTACGTCACAAAGAATTTCACAACGGTATAATTTTCCAATAGAGAATGAGACCTTGCATGTTTCGGTAACTGACACTTCAATTCTTTTCGTCACCCAACTAATTTTATACGGCTGAGAATGCTGTGGTCTTTAGTTGAAGAGTTTTAACAACCTTTAATGAAACAATATTTTCAGTACAACCATTATAAATGATAAATTTGCATACCTTGCTTCCAATGGTGCACTGTGTCCTGAATATAGAATGCCTCTGAGTACAATTATTACGGCTTAGAGCGAGCAATACTCTCTAATATGAAGGAATAATTCTTCTTCGCCGGCTTGCAGATCCACCTCATCTTCAGACATCATTGGTAACCCATAGCTGCCCTCTATGTGAGGTTCTCTTTCTAACACTTGAATTTGTCTTTGGGTTGGGCATTCATTAGATATATACCCAGGTTGGAGATACATAAAGCATTTACCTGGAGCTGGTCTTTGATATGTGCTGTCGTGATGATAATTGATTCTTGAATTGTGTCTGGATTCCATCAAGTTGGGTTGGTTGGAACTATTTACCCTTGAGAACATTTTGTTTTGGTGGTTTTGTTCCACATTGAAGTCAGCGGATCCATGACGGAAATATTGAGGCTTGGGTTGTTTTGATTGCTGAATTTATACTTTATAAGCCAAGTTAACAACCTGTAACAGAGACCAAACTACATTCATTTCTAATTTCTCTTGAATCGATTTTTCAAGCCACCAATATATGGAGCTACCAATTGCTGATCTGTTTCATTCAGGTTTTTTCGTGCACACAACCTATAAAATTCTTCTGTATGAGCACTCACATTTCAATCATTTTGGGGCACATCTTTGATACCGTAGATGTAGCATTTGCCCATAATCGGTTGGAAGAAAATGACCTCGCAACAATTATTTCATACAAGTCTAACTCTGAACCTTTCGATGCCACTCATGTTTCTAAGTTTGAAGCAATTGAATCCACCAAGCTCCTGCTCCCCTTTTCAACAAACACACGACATTCTTGACCTAGTTCTCCTCGAGATGTCCATATATTCGAAGAAGGATCTACTGCTTGTTCCCAATCCAAGTACTCTTCAATGTGCAAATGCCCATCAAAATAGGTATATCTAATTTCACTTTGAATTCACCAGGCAGCTGATTCCCAATATCCTCTTCTCAGTGGAGGATTGCCCCATGTTTCATTCTCATATTCTGAATCGGAATCCACGATCTCTGCCTTGTGTCGAGAATTTCTTCCCTCGTTCAATTTGACATTAGGGTGGGCCGACTTAGATCGTCGGAAGCTCCACATATCTGGATTCGCTAGAATGGAATTTCCCATGGTTAGTACGGTTACCAAGCTTACCGGTGTGGTTGCCAGTGGGAAAAGATCTTTGCTACTCTGATTTTGAAGCTCTCGTCATGTCTCCATCACGAACTGTTGGAAACTGCTTTAGATCATCTCCACCTGACAGGGGTAAGGGTAGCGAGCACAGCTCGCAGAGTTTCTCAGTCGCTTACATCGTTGTCTGCATCATCGCCGACGGCATGTCTGCTGAGTTTGCCATGGCTCTAATACCAAAATGATGTAATCCCATGCGAACAAAAGAGCAAAGAAACAAAGCAGAACAGCAGAACATATTTCTGTTGATAAAATCAGTAAAAAGCTGCTTACATTCTTCTCCACTATCCTTTTATACTATCTTTACAGTAAAGACAATAGTAAGTATTACTATTAATGTACCATAAAGGAAATTAATAAAAGGATATTTCGGTCCAGTCCGCCCTTCCACTACACCATACCACACCACCTCTTAATACAGGAGTCAAATGACCATTTATTCATAATCAAATGTAAATCAGTTGTTTTCCAACAGCACAAACCAAACGGCCAACCAGTTATTTCGATCAGCTGTTGATCAACAGCTTATTAACAGATTGTCAATAAGCTGCAACTGCCCCAAACAAACCCTTAGTCCTTGTTTTGTTCTCCTATGGCACACTTGCTGTCTCAGCATGGAATCGGTACTTGTTTCCATTGCTGCTGTCTTCATTATTCTAAATTTACAATATGTGTTATTGTGAAGTTATTTCATTCCATTGAATCTTGAAGCGCTAATCCTATTGTCCTTCACGTTTCTGCAGGGTCCAGCAGCTAATCCAGAAGCAAACTGTGGACACTTTCAATGGGTTAATAAGAGGCATCGGCGCCAAAATTGATGTGGTAATTCTACGGAAACTTAACCACCCTTCAATATGATATGTAGTCTGTTTCTTTCAAAAATTACAAGGTAATTTTACTAGCATACCACACAATTCCTATGTATTTACATATCTAACATCCAAAGTTCAATATTTACACTGATAACTCCTTGGTTGTGCACTTTTGAAAAGACAGTGATGATGGCATTTCTGATCTGATGTTAAAGATTTCATTGGTATGCATGTAAATATGAATGATTAGATGTTACATATGTAAATTTATATAAATTGTGTGGTATGTTTGTAAATGCCCTAAAAAAACAAATGACATGTAACTATTTACCGATCAAATTTAGTTTCTTATTGGAAGCTTGAAAGAGAAAAGGACTGATGAATTGAACTTTTACTATCAAACCCAACAACAATTCATTATGACCTTCTCAACCTTTTGTGGGCCTAAATTAAGTAAAATACACAACTAATGACATTCATAAACTACATCAAAATTAGTGCTTCCAATGAAAGTAAATGTGAAAATTTTCATTAATTCTGTTCATATGATAAAAGAGCTAATGAAACATTTTGCATTATCAATTTCAGTATTACAGGGGAAGAAATGATCTCATAAGAAATTCTTTGTTATAAAATTAAGTTAATTGTTTTTGAATTAATAAAAGGAAGATTTATATATATACCACACAATTCCAAAGTATTTACATATCTAACACCTAAACTTCAATTTTTTCTTTTTAGTACATACAACCTTATCTATTGCATTTCACCTTTCAAATATTGGTATAAATGCAAAAAATAAATTTTAGGTGCTATTTATGTAAATTCCCTTGAATTATCTTTATGTTTCTAATGGAGTACATCGCATTGCTTTCGTGAATGTAGATAGGATAATAGTATCCTTAACGTGATAACTATTTCGCATTCCATTTATCACAAATATTTAGCATGACTTGTTTTACTATTATAGCAATTATTTTCAATGCAAATTATCAATATAAAAATGTCATGAATTTTATATTTTAGACATTGTTGTGTTGGAAAATTCACGACGGTAGAGTTATATTGTCTTAGCATTGTATGAAGATTCAACAAAGATAAAAGAAGAGTTAATATAGGGAAAAATGTGGGGTTTTTACATGAAAAACTTAAAAAGTATTAAAAAAAACATGGGGCCTAGCTTGATTTCATTATTCAATTGTAACTAATGAGATCTTATCTGCCTTTGAGAAATATAAAATATGTTATAATAATAGGAGAAAATATTATGAAATTAGCAATGACTCAACGGGAACGATGGAAAATTGATGACAAATAGGAGTTGTGTGATGGCGATTGGGATTCATTCTCATTGATGGCGATGGCTGCTAGGCTGTAGTGATTTAGCAACATTAGTAGTTATGACAAGACAACATTGATTTGATGATGGCAATAGGACAATAGAGGTCTAGTTGCAAGAATAGCGTCAATCGGGCATCAATGGTCTGATGACAACTATGATAGTGGTCAAACAACGATGGTTGCTGCAGTGGCTTCATCTGCATGATTGTGGTTCACGGGCTAATATGAGATGGTGGTTCAACAATAGTGGGGGTTGGGAGATAGTGGCATGGCGAAGCCGGTTATGGTCTGGTCACGACATTGGTTGTGATGGCGTCAGCGGGGAAACGGTGGTCCAGTGGTGGTGGTTAAACAACATTGTTTAGGCGACATTGATCTGGTGGTGATAGTGGTTGAGAGATGGTGATCTGACATAGTGGTGATCTGGAGATGATGAGCTAGTGACGTTGATGATAGCTCAATAATGGTGGCATGATGACGACAGTGGGGGCTCGATGATGGTGGTCAGGTTATGGCAGTGGTGGCTCAGCATAGGTCGTGTGACAATGGCCTTATGGTGGTGCCGATTTGATGAGGGTTGTGTGGCATAATGTGATGGTCTGATGTAAGTGGCCTAGTGTGGCGGTGGTGCCTTGGCATCGGTCAGGCGACGGTGATTTGAAGGTGACGGCAATCCGATGACTGTGGTATGATAGTGAGTGGTGGCTCGATCTCGGTCGGATGATCGTGGTTCAGCACAATAGTGATGACTGGATGTTGGTGGTCCAACATGGTGGCGACGACTTGACGTCAGCTAGGCGATCGTGGTCTGATGGTGGCAGTAGCCCCTGACGATGGCGGCGGTGGCTCGACATAGGTTGGGTGACCGTGGTTTGACAGTGACGACGGTGTGTTGACATCAGCAAGGTGATGGTTGTCTAGTGTTGGCACCACATGTGACAGGCACCACATGTGACATGATCTGGCATGGCGGTGCTGGCTCAGAGTCAATCTAGTAATGGTAGTGCGATGGTGGTCCAATAGCGGTGTCGGATCAGTAATGGTGGTTCGAAATGGTAACGGCGATGAGATGCTGGCAATTCAACACGACGACGATTGCTTGGAGACAACAACAGCCTGAAACGATGGTCTGACGGTGGTCGAGCTCGGGAATCCTCACATTTCGAAGCATGTTTCAATCTTCTCGTCAAAGTACCACCCCTTAGTAAATAGTCCATGAATTTGGACCACTCCATTGAAAGGACTGTAATGATTTCCTTGAACGGATGTAATTTTATGATTATTTGAATGATTTACTGATTCCAGAATTAAACGACTTTAGGCTCGTTGGATTCAACTCGTCAATAATCTTGATTTGACTATTAGCTTCTCATTTTTATAGATTCTTTGGTCTCCCAAAGTATTTTATAAAGTTTCTTTTTATGTTTCAAGTGCATGATCTAAGCTCACTTAATTTGTCTCTCCGAGACACTTTATTTGATCATAAATTTGAGTGTGTATAATTGGAATTGGTTTGTAATTGCAAAAATGTTGCCTCCTTCAAGGTAATGAAAATTTGACATTTTATTAAATTGTTGATGGTAAGAATCCAATATGGGTGACCCAAGTCCAGTAAGTCGTTGAGGTTCATCAGTCTTGAATACAAAAACTATAGTCATTTGAGTTATGGATGCTTACCAAGTCATTAAGGAAGAGGAATTTCTCCAGATACCTGGTTCATTTTGAGAAAGAGCAAGCTGACAGTGATGAACATGTGGGGCGATAAGCCACACTCTCAAGGCAAATGGACAATAGGGGATTGCTTGAGGGAATTTATTGAAGGCTCCTTGGATCATCCAAGTAAGGTGATCATCCACAACGACATAATCATTATTATGGTTGCTCTTAGGGCTGTCAAAAAAGCTTGTTGTTTGCAAATAGCTCGTGTACAAATCATTTGTTAAGTAAGCGAGCCACAATTGAATAATTATTTTAAGCTCAAATTATAAATGAGTGGAATAAGAATAACACTTTGTTCAATCAAGTCCGGTTAGTTTTAGCTCAAAATAAGAAAATTATATTATATTATATTATATATATATATAATTGGTATAA